ATTCCTCGGCTTCTAGCAACTTGTAACAAAGCGCAAGTTGACATGGAAGGAAACGTGGTTTGAAATTAATCCGAAGTTCCGCCCGTCTTGTGATTTCGTTCTTACATCGGACTTGTATGCGGTATTTTCACGAAGTGCGTAAAATTTATAACAGTTAATGGCTAGGTCGTGTCCAGTCGCTTGTTTAATCTCCGAAAGTACAGAATGAAAGTGCACGACATTTTGTATAGTGGTCTGTCGGCTTGATAAAATTTGTGGGTCGATATTAATTTTGGTATTTGTCAGTATATTATTATTTTATGTTAAGCCAAAAGCCAACTTCACAGATTTTTAAAAAAAGCTCGTGATGAGAAATGTTTATAAAATTTTTGTTGGGAAGGGGGGGGGGACTACTCTGAAAACCCATGATCCGTGTGAGGATAATATTAAATGGATCTTAGAGAAATGGGGTTCGAGGCTACGGAATGGATTCAGGATGTGACTCAAGATAGGGACCGGTGACGGGCTCTTGTGAAAGTCTGTTCTTAAAAACTCCGAGGGACAAGTCAAAGAGCCCATCCAGCCTGTTCAAAGAGGAGAATGTGGAGGACGAGAAAATGAAACGGGAAAAGTAGGAAAGGAAAGAAGAAGTAGAAGGAAGAGAGGTAGAACAAGAAAGAAAAGAAGCAGGGAACAGAAGAGAAGTGAGAGAAGATGAAAAAATTTAGACGACGAAAATCCGACTTAATTAATTCGATAAGGACATCCACATCTTAATACAGGGCAGAATGAATAAATGAAAATTGGTATGTGTGCTATGTACTCATACTTGTCAAGTCTCACTACTGTTAACAGGCGAGAGGTGTATTCTGAATTAGAAACACTACATGTCTCCCCATTACAATTGTGTCTGGATAACATCTGAGCATGTTCATCGGAGCTAAAATGCAGAGGCATACTTATCATTCGCGAAGCAAACACCCGTTCTTGCAGTACTTGTTTCCATTTAGCTGGATCCATGTCCCAGTCAAGTGGAAACATCACATAAAGCATGTTTCAAGATCAACTAAAAACTATTCCGGAACGGGTTCTGCTGCTTAGTCGCCAGTACCTGACAGGAATCAGATTCATTCGTTGTGCACGTGTGTTCACAGTATAGCAACTGCACGCACTGTAGACAAATTTCCTGTCTGTCTTCCTTGTTTTAATTTTTTAGTCGACAAATGAAACTGAACAGTGAATTTCTACTCGCGAAGGATTGGGGAGGGGCTGAGAAATTGTGCAAATAATCTAGTCAACCAGCCGAGTCTCGAATCGTACTTCTTTCAAGCAAGACGCCATCCTGTTCGATGCGTTGTTGGAAGTCAGGCTAGATTTCTGCAACGAGGTAAGGAGACACACGAATAACGATGGGGCCATCAGTTCGGCGTCAAGTTCCCCCGACTGCCAACACGGTGCAAGGCTTTCTCTGTCCATCAGTTTTACGTAACACACACTAATGAACATTATTGTGCTTTGTCTGAGAAAAATCGATAATTTGACAACTTGAAAGTATGACGTCTACGGTTTTTATAGCTTTTAGTCTATCAACTCTCTGGTAACAGAAGTCGATAGTTCGATACTAGTCATATCAAATACCACGATACGGAGTCAGTTTTGTCTATCCACTATCCTCACAACCTCTTTTCCTTAACATGTCTTAATTTTATTCTACATGGAATAGTGTCATTAAGATCTAGAACTTGTATTTGTGCTGGCCTATTTTTAACGAAATACAGGGAAATGTTTGTTCATTCTTGCAGTTTAATGTTCGTATCGCATATGTAATAAATGAAAACCATGACCGAAGCAACACATTTGGAAACGAACTGCAGAAGACTACACATTTCTACTAGTTTTTTTTTTTTGTGTGAATATTTAAAGTTGGTTTATTTTGTCATGTCCATTCGACTGCAGGTAACACTAGAGATAACTGTCTTCAGGGATGTTGCGCCGTGCGGTTTTGTAGAAATTTACTGACGTTCCAGAGGTACTTACTGCCGCCAACACCAAGGCCATCGTCGGTTGTTTCTACGAGACTTACAAGGCGAAACATACTGGCCGTCGCGAAAAACTGAAATCTCTCCTAGTTGCTTCTAATATGCATTTTATACATTTCAGCAGATTAACAACAACGGAATACGGCAAGAGGAATAGACAAGTTCATTATCGGGATAAAAAGTAGCTGTTCTGAAAAAGTACAATACAGCCTAAAGCTAGTGCAAAGAGATATGAAATGTAACTCAAATTCTGTAAACTCTGAAGAGCGTAATTAAAAGACAATTACAGATGTTTATTGTCGAGGTAGAAACAATTTAATAACGAAACAGGCCGATGAAATCACAAACAAAACATGGCTGAATAAGGTGATGTCTTCAGGGTTGTTGTGCCGTGAAGTCTGGTAGATGTTTACCATAGTTTCAGAGGCGCATGCGGTGATGGAAGCATTATGCACTTCTGAAACGTCGGTAACATTCTATCAGACTCGCCGTCCTGAGAACCTGAAATCTCAGAGGGCTGAACAAGATCTCACAGCTGTTCCCAGACTTCGTGAACTAGTGTTTGTAGGTCAAGCAACGAATGATTACCGATTGGGGCTGAGAACGCTGCTGTCTTTTTCCGTCTGCTTGGAGGGGGGGGAGATAAAAAGAAGTTTTGTAGTGTACAGTATGATTTGTAGAAACGCAGTGAATGATAATTACAGGCATCACAACACCAGTGGTATAAGTTACTTTTATTAAAGAGGCTGAATAATGGAAATGATGGGCATGTTTCATGCCTCTTTATCCTCAATAGTATGACCTCCTTTATTACCATGGTTTTACTGGGTAGATAGGTAGTCAAAAAACCCGCTTAAGTTTCTCTTTGGTAAACAGAATTTGGGCCAGATGTAATTGTATACAGACGCGTCTGACTTTAAAGATGACCAATATAAAAACTCGCAGAATAATATGATCACAGTTTTACGCTAAAAGAAAGCCAATGCAAAATATATCTCAGTTTAACAGCCAATGATCACAAATGTTTATAACCGTGATTGATGTAACTGTGTCGTTAAAGAAAGCAATAAAACCGGTAACTAAAATGAGTGGAGGTTCGACGTGGAAATTGGTGAGGGCGTTACATGTCAGAGATTTATATCGGACACATCGCATGTCTTATGTCCAGCTTGAAGACAAGTTGGGCGTGGTGAGAGGTGATAATAAGATTCAGTACAGCTGGCAACGAAGTTATTGAATCAGCGTTTGAACTCCTTCCCAGTGACTATTTCTTTCAGGATTATAGTGACGGGATCCAGGGATAGGGTTATGCAATGATGATCAGTAGCTTCAGCTCTTTATGTAGCCGGTATTTCACTATGTTGAGTAGCCTTAATCCTTAAATATACTAAATTTACTAGGAGAATTTAATTTCCGTCTGTATCCGTCTAATGTAACCGCTACTTTACAAATATCGTATGATAATAACGTGTCAGAATATAGCCTCATCAAACAGTGGAACATTACGTGAAATCTTTTTCTGTGTAGTGCATGTTTAACAGAATACTTTAAAAATGTATAGACCTATAGTAATCCTGTATTATATTTATTGTTTATTTAACGACGCTGTCAGTAGGTGAGAGTATATAGCGTCGAATGATAGGAAGATTAATGCCTAATGGATTGGAAAGGATGTAGGGGAAGTGGCCGTGGCCTGATATGTGGTACTGACCCAGAGTTTACCTTGTGCGACTGCGAAAAAGTAGGAGGAATCTCAGGATAGCCGGTCTCCTTCCCGAAATTCTAACCCAATACCTCTCCGAATACCAAACAAGAGTGTTTACCACTCGGTCAAGATGTTCTGTTTCTTCATTGTTAATTGCTGCTCGTACTGTTTTTTGCAGCAGATTTGGGCCAACAGTATATTAACATCAATGTCAGTACGGTATTCAGAATCCTGGGAACTCTTTGTGTGCACTCACTTTTTCCCTTGTTTTGCTCGGGTTTATTTACCAATAAAGCTCAAGAGTTATATTTAGGTGGTATCCGGTTTAAGTTTCGCCCGAGTTACTGTCTATACTGACCGAAGTACTTTAAATTTCATTCAATAACACGTAACATTGTCATTAAATAAACTAAGAATCAAATATTGTTACATTTAATAGCTTTTTCGTGGCCTCTTTAGAGCCCCCCCCCCCTTTCCCTAACTGCTTGAGACCAATACAGAATTCAGTTTGCGCGTGTTGAGTCCCCACACTCCAGACACACACACAAATAATGCGGGCGACCTGTTGAATTTGTGATCGTGGCACAACCGGTTAGTCGTATCTTTCTGACATTTGTCTAAATAACCGAGTTTGTTCTGAAAACCGGACTCTTGGTCACATCGCGAACTCCTGCTGTGTGAAACTTTTTTACACAACCTGTAGTCTGCGATTTCCATATCAATTATACGAGAATAGAAGGTTTACAACCTTTAGCCTGTGAGCGTAAGTTTGCACGCAGATTACTAGATTGTAGTGTAACGACGAAGTGCAAAGTATGATGTGCTCTGACAATCAACTGGTCGACAGGTGATACTCATATATATAGTATAACGAGGGTGGAGAAGCTGCTATCACGAATTTTACTTACATATGAGTAGCCTCTTTATAAATCAGGTGCCAGGATTTTTTGGAGCTTTTTTTATATTTGTTATTCAAACTGTCATGCGAATTTCATAATTTCTTTTGGCAACCATATTTTCAGAATTTTTCAATGCATTATAATCTATGTAGCCTTGCAATAAACCACGTGTTTTTAAACAGTTATGTCCCCCCTTGCACACCCTTCATAATTACCTTTTCATTCTGTGTTCCAAAAGCCGTGCACATCATAAAACTCATTAACTAAAAGAAACAAACCACTTGACTTGTCTGGCTTAGACATTTATTTAGTGAAATCTCTAGACAGCATCAAATTATACTGTTTCTGTAATGCTGGTTGCATGCATTGTTGTTGCAGGAGCAGGCCCATGATGCAAAGCAGCAGGCAGTGTCGCCAGAGGATACAGAAGATCTGTCTCCTCTACCATCAGCAGTACAGCAGCCTGCAAGAAGGCGAGGTGGGATATCTCACCAGCTACGTGAAAAAGGTACTTAATTCTGTCTACAATGCAGGTTTGTATCGCCTGTTGATGGACAGTGCATTTCCCCAGTTGACTGACTGATTAATCTTTTGAACTGTGAAGAATGTGTGAATGATATTTAAAAATTCCATCTGTGCACGAAAGAAAACACACTGCATCTGCTGCATATAAGTCTAAGTAATAATGCATAAGGAAACAATCACTGTTTATTCTCCGGACTAAATAAAATTCATAAGTATACTAACAATCTTTAGTCAAAATTCAGATTTATTGATTGGAAAAGCTGGTGGTACACAAGATACAATTACCCTTGAATCGATGGATTTGGATGCATTCGTTGGTACTTATATTCTGTGTTTTTTAGTTTTATTAGCATAAGAAGTAGCAACTTGAAATATGAAGTAAGTTTAAGTAGGTAGCTTCATTTTATCATATTTTGAGAGAATGATCTGTGAAATGTTTTGTTGAAATTGCTTTTTCCATTTCTGTAGGTGAATGTATTCTCTTTATTTTTGTACTGAAATATCCAATGCTGTCACTTGAATTAGGTGGGAAGAAAGTTCTTCACATTATTAGTGTACTGTCTATATTTCTTAAGGAAAAATAGATTATATGTAGTGTCATCATACCATGTGTCTATCTCCCCTTGGTAAATTTTGAACCTAAAGACAAATTTTCTAGAAACCTGTTATGAATATGATGTTCCTTCTAATATTAAAAACCACACCATCTTTGTACTTTTAATTTCTTGTCATAATATTTCCTGTGTGGCAGCTGTTCAAATTTATAAGATGAAAATGACACTATCACTATTTAACATAGGGCCCTGAAATTTGTCTTTTAAGATATGCAGTTTTTGTTAATATAATTTTTATTTTTTAATGTAAAACATCATGGCTTTATGAAATGTATATTTTGCTTTCCATTTCATGGCAGTAACTAGTAAATCATTGAAACTTAGCGTGTGAAATTTTGCATGGGGTATATCATAAACATACCCACAAATTTAGCATGAAACATTTGTATAACTATGCAATTATGGTGAATGTGCAGAACTTTGTAATGTAGTGATCATATTGTACTGGTGGAAATTACATACAGTTTTTGATCTATAATTTATAATTAGGCCTATTAACTTGTTCTCATGAGCTTCACCATATATGTATTGAAGCATCTGAAGGAAAGCAGACCTCATAATTTCTTCTGAGAATATCTTGTTTCTTGCAGATTTGTTATTTTTGCACTAACCCTTCAGTTCTGTATTCTCATATTATTTGAAAAGGTTCTTCATTTTATGTCATAAATGTGCTACTGATTCAGTTTTCTCCTCATCTTGAAATTATGTTGTTCTTTATCAGGTTGTTCCAAAAGACTACAAAACAATGGCTGCCTTATCCAAAGCCATTGCCAAGAATGTCCTCTTCTCACATTTGGATGAGAATGAGCGCTCTGATATATTTGATGCAATGTTTCCTGTCAACTTCTTGCCTGGTGAGACAATAATCCAACAAGGAGATGAAGGTGATAACTTCTATGTGATTGACCAAGGAGAAGTTGAGGTACAGTTCATTTCTTATTGCTTCAGGGTGAAATTTTGGTATGTACAAGAATATTCATTGTGGTTAAGTCCTAACTCTTGCTATGAGTTTAGGGGGTTCTAAGAACAGTTTTTAGATCAGAGGTCAGGTATCCCTTCTGAGCATTTTGTTGATTTAGCTCCGTCTTCAATGTGTGTAGGTAGTATCTTGAAGTAGGCCAGGATATAAATTTACAATTCAGTAATATGTATCATGGTTAGTACCAGTAATTAAAACCCTATTTCAGTGAAAGGTTTTGGGGGTTATCTTCTATGTTAAGATATACGTCTAACTAAATGGAACCTATATATACAGTTGCAGTTGTAGGTTGTCATATGTTGGCAAAGTTGTTTTTATTTCTCAGGTATTTGTAAACAATGAGTTGGTGACAACAATTGGAGAGGGTGGCAGTTTTGGTGAACTGGCACTAATTTATGGAACACCCAGAGCAGCCACTGTAAGAGCCAAGACAGATGTGAAGCTCTGGGGAATAGACCGTGATTCATACAGACGCATCCTTATGGGCTCGACCATTCGAAAGCGCAAGATGTATGAAGAATTCCTGTCTCGTGTGTCTATACTTGGTGAGTTATAGACCACCATTAAGCCTGAACTCAGTTTTAAATAAATGCTGGTAATTTAACATCATTTAAAATCTTTGAATAAATAGTTCCTTATTAGAAAATAATCACTTTACCACTTTACTAACAACTAATTCATAATAGAACCAAAGGATTCAATGCTAAAGCTTGCTGTTAGGCATGATCCTGACCCAGTTTCATTCACCTCCCAACCTCATTACCTTCCTTGTCTTCTCCCCCAACACCCCAACCCATCCAAGGTACATACATAGTCCTTTGTGTTTTTCTTGATATCAGTACCTGAACAATACTTAGTTGTGCATACAAATGACAAAGTTCCTCACTGTGATGTACTGAATCACGTCCTTCTTAATCTTTGTCAAGATATTTTCCTGAGCACATCTTTTGTGCATCACATTCATGTACAGTGAGGTGCCATGAATGAGTTTATGCATTATGGATTGGCCACATCCAGGATCCCAAGTCTCATTTTTCTTTAACTGCTACTACTGTACTTCACCTATGCAATAAACAATCACTCACTCAGTCATACTTATATTCTGTCAAAATGCCACACATGAAATGCATGTTGGAACAACAGGTGTTCATGTAAATTACCTAAATATATTTCTTTATGTAATTATTATTATTATTAATAATAATAATAATAAATAACTACAAACATCTTTTGTCACTATTGTAGGAGGTATAATATAAAGAAACTCTTCTGAAGGGCAGCTAATGATCTTTTAACCAACCCAAAGATAGAGACAGTAGTCTTGCATCTTGGTTTCCCGAACATCTTCCCCCCGTAAGTTGGATAACCCAGGCAGTGTTCATTGCTGCTTGGAAGTATTTCCTCATCATTTCAACTCTTTGTTTCTTGACAGAGAGTCTCGATAAGTGGGAACGTCTGACAGTGGCTGATGCATTGGAACCAGTGTCATTTGAGGATCGGGAGACCATTGTGCGGCAAGGAGAACCTGGTGATGACTTTTACATCATTGTGGAGGGCACTGCATTGGTGTTGCAATATAGAGCAGAAGGGGAAGAGCCCATGGAAGTTGGTCGACTCGGGCCATCTGATTATTTTGGTAAGTCCATTTGTATTATAATACATTTTGTTGTACCGCCTTGTTTCTTCACAGGTGTGTGTGCAAACACCATTTTACTATTCAGTTTTTGAATTTTGAATTTATGCTTGTCATAATTACTTTGGTTCATGTCTGCACAAAATTATAATAATTTTGAAGTCTTTTCTGCTTAATTTGTGAACAGAACTAAACACAGCTTGATGAATAATATTAATATTGATCTTAAAAGTAGATATTTTCAACTGACTCAGGAGAGTCCAGTGGACACAGTAATGAATCTTCATGTTCCATGAATGCATAGCATTTTTTGACAAGCTGATAACAGCAGTAGATTTAATGTGCCATCATTATAATATTATGAATTTCTGATGTTTATTATGTTACATTTTGCTTGTGTGTCATTTGTTTACAGGTGAAATTGCCCTGCTGCTAGACAGACCACGGGCAGCTACAGTGGTAGCCAAGGGACCACTCAAATGTGTCAAATTGGATAGAGCAAGGTAGCACATTACTTCCAGAATCTTAATCATTACCTTCAGGGTATTTTTTTACAGAAGGGAACATGGTGGGAGCCTTGCACAAAATATTTAACATAATTGTTGGAATAGGATCACTGTTTTACAATTTGTATACTTGTACATGGTCATTTATTACAATTTCTGTTCTGGTACCTATCTGATGATAACTATAAGTAAGAAACTTTTAGCATTGAAAATAAATGTTAATTTTATTGAGGAAATACCACTTAATTGCACATGTTGTCGTATTACAGGTTTGAACGTGTGCTGGGACTGTGTGCAGACATCCTTAAGAGAAATATCACACAATACAACAGTTTTGTGTCTCTGTCTGTGTAACGAGGGCCAGATACATCTATTACTATGTAATGTAGCTCTTTTAGCTTGTAACATCTTGTGGCTATATGCCCCAGAGCAGGTGAAACATTCTTTCTTTCTTTCTTTCTTTCTTTATGCAGAACACAGCAGATGTATGAATGCATTAACAAAGTCAGCAGTTGCAAATATATGGTTCTTCTTGCACACCCTCATACTGTCACATTAAATTGGTTTGGCATAAGATAAAGAGGAGATATAAGAAATTTAGAACCTTTTTAGGAGCCTTGAGGTCTGCATGCAATAAAACTGATACATTGTTGTACAGTTCTATGGTAGCCAAGTGATGTGATGGCTTATGGCTGACATTAGCCCTTGGTAGGGTGTGCAACCAACTATAAGTATGGGCTGGGCAGGATCAGGATGACTGTCTCAAATTTGTATACTGTCACTCCATTCCACCTGCAATAGGATGTCAGTTCCCTGCAGAACGCACTAGCCTCAGGCAGTGTCTATGATTCTTCATTAAGTTTGTTCTAGGTGTAAGACAATTCATTTGTACAGATGACAAAAATGGGTATGATGTCATCAGATCCTGTCTTCAGGGAGTGATATACAATTGATCCATGATGAATCCATTGCAGTGGTGATAATATTCAATCTGTCTACCATATAGAAGTCATGAAATACCAACAAGCAACACCACCAGTTTTGTTGTACATCATGATTTCCAGTGGTGTGATGTATGTGTCTGTGCCCCAGTTTCAGGTGCAAAATGCCAAGGGAGTTAGGTGCAGAATTCTTATGCTCCAGATTGGAGTAGAAGGTATATGAATCTGTTGTTGTTTATCCGTTGAATCCAGTATGCTTCACTGGTCTCACAGTCCATCGCGCATATTGTCAGTGAAAGGGAAAAAATGTACAGTATATATTGAAATTGATATTTAGCTCCTTTGTGTACATCAACAATTTTCACTTTTGTTGACCTTAATTCTCTGGATATTCTCATAAATCTAAAAAGTCAGTCTTAAGAAATGTTGAACTACATTTAACTTTAAATGACAAGAAGTTCTTCATTCTTTCCTTGCCTGTGGACCTCTTATGTCCAGAGTGTATTGACTGCCAAGTTTCTTGTACTAATTTGAAAACTGCACCGACTGAAAGTTTGTTTCTGGCTTGGTGATTATTTCCTTGCTTCATATGGAGTCAGTAAGTGATTGAGAAGGACAACATTGAGTAGTTTCAATTATTCCCACTAATTCTGATCAATTTATTAAGTTTAAATATCTGAGTATCTGTTTTTGAATTTAGGATGGTATAAACTATGGACAGCTTTGGCTCAAGGAAGAGGTAGGATCATGCTTCCAGTCTGGATTAACAGTAACATCCAACATAAACCAGCATGTAATTGGTCTATGCATAAAGTAATCACTCTTACTGCCTAGCCTCCTGCTGCAGTCTGTGCAGGAATTGCCAGGCAATTTTGAAATTCAGTTTGCCTATGGTACAAGATAGAAAGTTTGGAAGGTAAATTTTTTTGCATTACTTTGCTATTTTCACAATGTCAGGATCAAATTTTGGCAGGCCTGGCACAAACCAGGTGACTTGTTTGTTCAATTCATTGGCAGGGAAACAGTCAATTGTGTGTGTGTGGCCATTGAAAGAAGGGGAAAATGCTGAGATACATTTGTTGTTTCTGCAGAAACAGATAAGAATGGATCTAGTACCATCAGTTTATTGTATAGAAAGAAAAGTGCAGAGACAATATTGGGTTTGGTGGATGCTGTGTTTAGTACCTGGTAATTTTCTAAACCTATAATTCAAATGACACCTGCCAAAGTTTTTTAAAGATCTGTTTTTCATCATCAAGAATTTTAAATGGAGGAGTGGGCAATTTTGGATAAAAGGTGAAGGAAACATGACTGCATAGAGCTTGAATTTATTTTGGAAGAGAAAATATGCATTTTGAAAGGTTGTATGAACTTCCCAGTAGGTGATCTTGCAAATAGGTCTACACCTCCTGTATTGGATTGTATTTATTCAAATTTGAATTCACACTTCTATAAAGGCAGATGGATAGAGTGAATTAACCCATTTGATCCCTGACTTCAAAGGCTGTACATATTCAAAAAGTGTTATTGACTTTTGTATTTATATTTCCCACCACACCCAGTATAATCTATTTGCCTCTGCCCACTACCAGGTGGCATTTGCCCATAGCATTATAAAGCAGACACAAATGTTCATAACTGATCTGGCCAATGCTGCCACTTTATTATTCATTATATTTATACAGTGCTATGTTATTCACTCTTTGTGCTCTGTAATGGTTTAGGTAACTGATACTGTAATTAAAAAAATAAGAAACATTAGTTTGAGTCCCACAACATGAATTTCTTATACAAAAGTCTTGGCAACAAACAGGCAGTTCAAGTTTATTTCATCTGTTGATCTTTTAATATTCAGAATTATACATGCCTACATGTAGATATATTTTTCACAACTATGTATTGGTTTATGATGCCTGTATAAACATTACAGTTTGGCTTGACTCTTTAGCCATTGTTTTATTTTATTTCCTTTTCTTTTTGTATAAAACACTGCCATTTTAACCTCCTAATTTAAAATGTAGCTTCAGGTATACATGTTATGTTAATGACATGTATGTATACTGTTTTATGAGCAGTTCTCATTGTTTAACTTGAGTAAGTCTGAGCACTAACCACTCTGTCCATCAGTGCCCATCTGCATTGCCTACTTGAAAAATGCCATAACCAACTTTTCATAATATCAGAATTCAAATTATATAGTAGTATTAATTTGTTAACAAGGTCATTGATACTTATAGTAACAAAGTTGGTTAATCAGTTAATCATTTGCATAATTAATTAATTAATTGTAAGTGGTTAATTATTTGAGCATTTTTATTATTAGAAGGCTGTAGTAATTGTATCATGTTAAGAATGGGGCTGATGATAGGTTGTCACTGGGGGAATTTGCATATGTATGAGCAGTAGAAAGTCATTCTGTTTTCTGCTAGTAATGGTAAAGATGTCTAGCATGATGTGCACAGGTCTGAAAGTACTGAGAAGACATAATAGTGATGTTGAATGTGTTTAAACTTTATCTAGTTCTTCAGATAATAAATCCAGCAAGTGCTGAATTAAAAGTACAGATTCCATTTCCAGTATATATGTATATGTGCCTCTGGAAATGAGAAATGAACACTGATAGCAGTGTTAAAAGCTAAATGAAATTTGTATTCATGTTGAATTAAAGAAGAGGGGAAAGTACGTTGTTAATCTAGGAATAACCAAATTCTGATTCTTGTAATACAAGAAACAGTTTACTTAATGAACACATTCGTCCTGTTTTTGTTACATCATTAATATTTTAAGTGGAACTCAATTTAGTTGATTGCAGTGTGGATAATTGTGCTGAGGTAGTACCTTAACATTTTGAAGAGTTAGTGAATATTGAAGCATGTGATACATATACGTACCACTGTGCTTTTTTTATAGGGTTAAAATATAAAACAGACCTTGGACCATTACTACAGATATGGTTCAGTTCACTTTTATCCAATTTGATAGCATATGACCTTTGCAGTTTGAAATTTCATTAAATAAACTAAGAATCAGTAAGGTAGAGTTTTACCACTTCCAAAATGAGGTATAGGTTAGTGGGGAATTAACATGTGCCAACTTGAGTACAATTTGGTTGGTATCACCACCAACAGTTGAAGAGTTAGTATTTGTTGTATATGTTAACACTTTCTCAGGGATAAATATCAGGACACTGGCTGCATTCATAAAAACATTTATCCTAGATACATTCAGCTGTTTTATAGTCAGGTGTGGATGATCCCACAAAGGACCTGTTACTGAATGTGCAAAAATGTATTACTTATTCAGAATATGAAAGAAAAATCCAAAATGCAGGACAGTAGAATTTGATTACTTAACTTTGGTAGATATATCATGAACTGAGAGCTGAAATGACTTGTTGGCCCCCTAGTGACACTGTCATAGAAAGTATATATTGTCCAGATGTTGATGCAATTCAATACAGCACTAACAAGAAAACTCATTTGATCTAATGTGTATTTTATTTTGAAAGTATAAGCAGCTAAACAAATAAAGCAAGTTTGTATATATGAAAATCCAATTGAACATAAAACCAACTAGTGTTTATTTTCTGTGGTTCGTTAGTTTCAACCTTGTTGTGCAGCTTTTAAATTTCCCTAATGGGAGAACATTATGCTATGTGGAATTTAAATTTGTGACAGATTTTTCTCTAGGTTGTTCCACTTTCTGATTTATTGGCCCTAACTAATCACTCCACTTGTTTTAGTGAATGAAACTTAACACTACAGGTATCATTGACAATTCAGGCTTACCTGCTGATCCATGAGAGACCACGCTTAAGGTCTGTTTGAATATTGACTGAATTCATGCATCCCCAACCAATTCACCATGGTCCAGTTTGTACTGCCATGCCTAGTGTTATGGCATGTTCATGAGAATTTAATAACATTAAATATGTTTCAGATAGGAACTAGAGGTGTTGAAAATCAGCAGTTTCTTGTGGCATTGCTATAGTAAGCCAGTAGGTTAGACCACGGTGCCTAGCAGAACACCTCCTGTTAGCAAAAATTCTTCACTAACTTCTGTTGCTTGAATTGCATAAGTTAAGTAGTGCTGATTGAGATATGAAGATAACTGTGACACATCAGAATTTGGAAGGCATATACCCAGTATTTGCGTGGATAGACTAAAGAATATTACAGAAACCTTGGATCAGGAAAGGTGGTGACCCAGTAGAGATTTAAATATATGTACTTCCTGAATACAGGTCTAATGCTATACAAATCTGTTGTAGATTTCTTTTACTGATCACCACCACCACCTTACATTTGGTCCTTGGGTGCTGCCTTTTCCTTCAGATTTGCTGCCTTAGCAGAGTCAAGGGTAAAAATGACAATAACTGGAGGCTTTATGAAAGAAGGGATAGGCAATCCACTCTGCTGTCAGTTCAGTTGTGTTCCATTACAAATGGTGTTTTGATGGAGTGGTGGTTACTTCCAGAATGGTTAATCACATGTAGACATGTGGAGTGCATCACATCTAATTGTTCTGTTGTTACTCTTCCTGATACATACATTAAATGACATTATTAATCTAGGAGTTATAGGTTCATATGACAATGATTATTATTAAGGTATGAATGGATTTAGACTAGTCACGCATATTTTAAAAGTTTTATTTGTTCTTAAAGAAGTAACAGCAAATGTTTCTGTTAACATGGGGAGAGATTGACTTTCTTCCATACTACCAAGTTGGAATTTAATATTCTACAAAAATTCTGACTGAACATGATAAAACATTAACATTATTTATTACTACCCCAGATGTATATGTACATAAGAACACAGGAATTGCTAAACATACTGAAGACTTCTAAAAAATGAATTGATACAATAATTTCTTTTCATAATGTGCATAATACATAGGAAAATAAAGGGTACCTCCAGATTTTTATCTGTTCATCTTGTACTTCCATTAATCTTCATACTTCAACAGGTCCACAGGTTTTGTCAGGTACAATGTGCATATCCTCACATACATCCTGATATATCCAGTTTAAAAAATGTGAAATATGTCTGTGTTTGTGCATACATATATGCACACACTTTTTTTTAGAACCAGAACTTCAGTGAAAGAAATCTTGACCAGACACAAGCCCATTTCCCCAATATCACAAATAGAGTACTTAAAACTTAGAAAGTTGTGTTACACATTACCTTCAAGCTTGTTATTTTTCCTAGATAAATAAAAAAAGTTTCTCTTAATACCCCACTTTCATCATAAACTGCTTGTTACTGCAACATGTGGAACTTTGATTTAGCAGCAGAAATATCAGTTTATATAATAAATATATTTCCATCACTATATAAATATACACTGAAAGAAAAATTAAGTTAATTTTTGGGCAAAAAAGAGAAAACTAAAAAGATGACATAGCTGGTGAATAAGATGAGCGAAAAACAAATGAAGGAAAGGCTAGAAAAAAGGAAGAGGGATAAAGTAGACAAAGAAGTGAAAAATGATATTAAGATTAAATTTGTTGAAATGAGACCCATCAGTGTTGCCATCTTCTCTACCCCTTGGGTGTGTTGTGGGAATGCTATGGTCTCCTCACCATTATGCAGACTAGATGAAATGGAAATTCATGTTGCTAGGAAATTACTCTTGGTGATGTATCTCCTTTCTTCACGTTTCCCATCTATCCTTGAAGCTCACCTCTGCTTTGATCCTGTAGTAGTCAAATTTGCTGCTGCAAAATGCCAACTAGCCTGGCAGGACATGATGGGAGGTCCCAATATCTAAATGACATTACAGAAGACAAGGAAACACCTCTTAGGTGGATGATCAACAATCTATCAAAACACCAAGACAACTTGACAAAGGGCTCAATTATTAGAAGAATAACTAGACAACCATTAGCAGTAAACCATGATACTGTATTCTTGTGGTGATGAAATAGTACTAGAGATAAAATGGCAAAATGTGTTAATTTTGGTATGGTTGACCTTTTGATGGAATTTAAATATTTTCTTTTCCACAGCTGGTGTTGACTTCATTTCCATTTCACTCTTTTTATCTGCCTCCTTTTCATATGCTTTTTCCTCTCTGATGTGACCATTTGTTTTCTACTACTAAGGGATTGTACTTTTGAGACAGGATATGTCGTTACAGTTTACTGCCATCAACATTTCTGGAGAAATTATTTTGGTTTGGCCCATTTATATCACTACATGTCAACTCAGTTTCTTCAGCATGTCTAGGAACCTTAGTGCAGTGAAGTGCTCTTAACTCTTCTCAACTATCAAATTTTTCCACATCTTCTTCATTAGTTCTATCTTCAAACTCCCAGAGCTCAACATTCCTGTAACTGCAAGATGATATCTTGATGGGTAGTATTCCTGTAACATTAGTCTCCTAACTCAAATTAAATTAACTTGGATCTCTAAGAGCAAGTGAAAGAACCTATGCGTTGCCAATCCTCTCAACAAATCTGAATGTAGTCATGACAGTCTGTTCCTGATTACATCCAAAATTTGTCAAGTTCAACATAGTCAATGTAGCTAATTATGTTTAAAGCACCATACAGTTTTGTTCCAAAAGCAAATTCTGACCATACATTCATCCAAATGCCATTCTTCTGAAACAATGGATGTAGCACAGCATAAAATTTGCATTGAAACAATAACTAGATAACAGACAATTCATGTGCAACTTGACTGGAATCCATTATCTGTACTATGATGATTATTGGTAGCATCCATCTCTTTTGAAGTCCTCTTCCCTCCTATCCTGTATTGGTTGTGACTTGCCTCTAAAAAGGAATTTCTTCAACTTTGTTTTATAATTTGTTGATCTTCACCATACATTTTCCATTTGAAATTTCCCTTGTGGACTGAAGGACTTCAAATTTCAATAGGCATGTTCCTCTTCATGCTTCCAAACTTCATAAACAATGTATGTTAATAACTAGCATTCCTGATAAATTGCAATTTCAAAGATGTAAACATGTACCTCAGTAGTTTCTGTATATTACAATTTTATATTCATGTCAGAATATTCTGACTTTAGAAGTTGAAACCTCTGCTGAATCCACTCTCTTCCAATTCTGTACATTTCCTGTGCTGGATCGAACTAGCATAATTTTCTTGCAGGAAGAAATTGTCCTCTTCACAAAACTTTGTAATGAATGCATGGAATGTGCTGTCTTCACATGATTATCAAGTATGTACACATCTGTTTTCTCACTGGGACATGTATGAAAATGTCTCATTACACAATCACACCACTGTCCTTGTTTGCAGGAAATATCCAACAAAAATATGTTGCTTCTTTGTGTTTAATTACAACTTGATTAACAGGAAATAATATTCCCATGGCTTCTGAATGACCAGTTACAGGTCTATGTAGATAAAATAAGTGACAACATATAATGGCAGTGAAAAATTATGAAGGGTTTCATTTGTGAAATATGAAGATGTGAACAACCCTTTGGGACCTCCCTACAACCAAACATTTCACACTGTGTTGAGAGCTGCAAGACTAGCTTTGCAATCAATCTTGGTCCGCTGGATATCCTCAAATGTGAGGCCAAATGGTGTTATAAACTCTAAGCACTTCTCATCCGAATCGAAAGCCAATTCCTGCACCACGAAACTCAGGGGCAAAAACGGACGATAGCTGAGATCACAAACACAAGAGACACAATATTAGACAACTAACAGACCCTACAGAGCAACATTAAGTGTACTGAAAAGAAACAAAGGAATTACCATCTCACACTCGAACCTGGAACAAAGCAAAATATCAGATTAGAGATCAATTATTTACATAGTTGTCGATTCTAATGTTTCTGAAGCACGACCATGTACATTTCATACATACTTAGAATTTATCAAGATTTTATTACAGGGAATTTGAGCAAATAACAGTTAATAAGTAGGTTATGAAAATGTGTATACAGCATGAAGGTTCATGACCATGTTAACAAAGGCCCACCATTCATCCTATTCTCTGCTAGTTCACATCTCCATTTCTTGATTTAATCACCCTGATAATATTAGTCAAAAGAACAGATTGTGAAGCATCTAATCATGTTAATTTTTTAATGTGATTAACTTAATTTTAAAATTTTATAGAACATATTTCCAAAAGATACAGATTTGAAATCACCGACAAACCATCTCTCTCCTTCAGATAATGTGTTTTACTGTTTAATAATTTTTCTGTAATACATTAGCAAATCTATAAAAAATCAATTTGTTTCACATTAGCACAGAGATCTGCATGTACTCTTAAACAGTGTGCCAAGTAGCAGTAGCAATGGTGGTGGTGGTGATAGTAGTAGTAGTAAAACGATTTAATTTATGTGGTATAAATATGGCAAGGATGCTGTTATGGAGTATATCTTTCTATAACTTTCAAAATAAACTGAGATGCCAAGATCTTAGTTTATGGTATTATATAAAAAAGATCACCAATCATAAATGTAGATGGTTTTTTGATACAACAATTTGAACATTACCAGACATCACAAAAAGTGTGCAATAAGTATTGCAAATCCATTTATTTAATTCACAATCTATACTAACCATTACAACACAAAAAGTGTGTAATCCATAAATAAGTGAATATATATGTCAGTAATTATTAAAATTATACCAACATACTATTGTAAACAGACTAGGACCTGCTTCATGATTTCTAGTTAGAGAGAAAGGGAAACTGATGAGTGACCATTCTGGGGGGAACCATTAATATTTGTCAAGGGGTTCAGATACTTCAGAACTGTAGGTCTAACTGTAAAGTTCTAAATTTCATGCTTCATTGAAATTGTATTTTTATGGAGGAAAAAAGAGATAATATGCCTGAGTTTTAAAATGAATTATGACATTGTTTTCCTGGAAGATTTCACCTTATGGGAAGTAGATCAACAAGAGGTTGTAGACACTTGGTCCATGTGTAGCCATTTTAAAAACTGGTATATTGCAACAGTAATTTAAATTAAGTTGCAACTATTTTTCACTGCAGTCAAGAACCATTTCAGTATACAAGAATGTATGTCTTACTGAGAATCTGGCATGGGATCTATGATCACAGAAGTCTGGCTTCAATAGTAATGGGAGGAATAAACTTGTATAATACGTACGATTTAATCAAACACTTGATGGCAGCTTTCCGCTCTCTGTCCACAAACCAGTCAACCAGATATCCTGCCATACGAGGTGCTTCCGTGTAAAGTTTAAACAAGCGATGATAATTACCCAGCCACCAGGCTGAGCGTACTGCTAGTGCATGGGCCACACATTCATCAGTTTTGTCTTCTGGAGTTAGTGATGCCAAAATTGTAGTCAAGTCTGAAATAAACATCCAGAAGAAAAAATTAACATTTACTAAGTTGATGGGTGAGAAAATAATGAATTCCAAAAAATGTTTCTTTACCAAGAGTGTTTTTGGTGAAAATGTAGTATAGGATGCGGTATGCAGTGAATTCCAGCCTGTTGGCACCACCTATTTCAGAATACAGCATCTTGAGTTGTGTCTGACACTGATTAAATTCCTCATGGTCTCCTTTCTCCAGAGCAATTCTTGCATGTGTTTCATATACCTCCACGGTAAATGAGTCACGAATCCCTTGAACCTGTTAAATACACATTCTCAGTTGCAAATGTAAATTTTCTAATGAACTGCATCACTCAAGGTCTTCCTATAGTATGTCATGAAATTCACTGCTGTTAGAGGCATAAAGTACATCACTATATTCACAAACGCCGGACACAGATCTTATCCTATGCCATTTCACAGTTTACCTATAATTTCATTGCATGAAATAGTTTTGGTAATGTGCCTTTGGCAAGTAGGAGTCATGCCAATTTTTTCAGTAACCAATTGTATCCAATTCCTATATTTTTTAAATGTTTGTCAGCAATGAAGCCTCTGTTTTTATGTACTGCCCTCTTCTACATACCATGAACTCAAATTTCCAATATTTCCCATCTTAGATGGTATGAAAAACCAGAAATATCATAAAGTGAAATATGATGGAAGCAGATGAATGCACAACTGCTGATTATATGTGACAAAAGTCATTCAGGTATTAATTGCAAGTAGTAACTCTAATCTGGACACAACTGTGACAAGAGTGACCAAATCTTTAGTTATTAGTGAAAATAGTGATAAGGCACTTCAGTTGAACATCTGAGAATTTAGACTACTCAGGTGTGTGGAGGAGTTGTTAATGCTGTTATATCTTTTGAAATGCTACTTTAAAAATGGCCAGAAGCAAGCAGTGGAATGGGCGTGTGTTGAAAGGCAATTTCTACTTACAGTTAAATCTTGCCTGATTGATTTCATCTGATCACAGGCATAGCAATAATCCTGAGATTCTACCCAGCGATCTTTCACTTTCTTGATTGAACTTTTTAAAACATCCACTGGTCGAACTATTGAAGCATCAGGGGCCTGAAAGTAAATAATCGCATACTGTGAACAAAAATATAAGTTTTCAGTAGAAGCCACTGGGTAAAACTTAACTGAAATCCAATGAGTAATTTTGGAGTTCAAACATCAGATATTATGAATATGGAAAATGACTTACTGAAGTGAGTCGAAGATAGGGTTTCTCAATATCTTGACATGTCCCTACAACATGAAATTCTGACCAGTCTATATCTCCATTCAAATCCTCAATGATATTCATATTATTTATGGTGGTGACTAAGCTTAAAGGTTTCTTGCGACGCTGTGGTGTGATTGGTGAAACTGATGTGATGCTCATGTTGCTCTTTAAACTAGAATTGAATCTTGCAGCCCGTTGCTGGAGACGTTCTGAGCTGCCAAGTTCATCACTGTTTAACCCAAATTCTGAATAAAAGTGAGATTTTGCCCTGTCAACAAAATATAATTCCATTAACACCATAATGTAAATGCTCCACAAATCATGCAGTGTTCACTTAAGATGAACAAGAATGGGAATTTCAAGTACATTTTCTACAATTTATGTAGAACTAAACTCACCCCTTATTGTTCTGTCTTCCTTTTCCCTTGTTCTTATTTCCATTTCGTCCCTTCAGGGAAAGTCTATCAGCAACTCGACTTCCTCCGCGGTTCTTTGTTACCTTAAGGGGCTTGAAATTCTCGTCACTGCTTGATGAGCTGTCACTAAACAAGGTAACATGCAACACTTTGTATTGCTTTGAAGATCAACTCAAAGACAGGGAGATATACAGTGTGACAAGTGGACTGGTTTGAATTGCCTTAAAAGAGGATCTTAAGTGGACTGAACCAAAGTTTAATAACAGACCAAATAATGAATTTTCTGTATCATTAATTTAGACATTATATGAAATTTACATTAATTTGGCAGTAATGCATACCTATTTATTATGTAACTTTCTCTATACCTGTCATTTCATGTCTCCTAGATTCAAATATAATTTTCAGCAGTTTGTTCCCAAACATGTTCAATCTCTGTTCTTCCTTTAGTCAGAGACCAAATATCACACCCTATCAAATTACTCTTACATTAAAAAATACTGTTAAAGCCTTTTCACAACCTGTAATCCAACAGATGTTCATTTACCTTCTAGTTCGCCTGCGACGAACAGGACTGCGTGAACTGTCACTGGACCTTGACCTGTTCCTCCTTGACCTGCTTAGTGATGGAGACCTGGAGTGCGACCTTGTTCTTGACCTACTTCTCGACCGAGACCTTCTCCTATAACTTCGAACTCCTAACCGTGATCCCATCGCAGCCGACAGGCCTGATTTCTTGCCTCGTCCTCCAGACTGTTGCTTCTGTGGTGTTGAGCTCGAACCACTGAGATCAGGAGATGTTGGGTAAGTTTTCTTGATCTCAATAAACTTCCTTTCGCTGTGTATACTGGAAAAGATTTAAGCATTTTAGTTTTTGTAAAGATATGAGGTTGAACTGTCTACATTTATTCAACTCACTTTAACTGTAAATGTTATGGGAGAAAGATGGTCAAACCACAGCTCATCCACCAAATAATCCACATTATTTCACTTAGGTTATTGTTGATCAAATAAATTTTGACTTCTAAATTTTTAAAATGTCACAGAATGATTTTACCAGAAATGCATTTATCCCCTGTAACTTATTTTCATGAAGTTATCCCTGTATTATCTGAAATTGTTCAGCATTCACACAACAGATGTACAGCTAACATGCAAAACAAAAAATGCATTAGTACCACACCACTAGGGTTTACAAGGATCAATCTAATACTCTATGCATTCTAGACCATGGCAATAAATTGAGGTCACTTTATCCCCTACAAAACAACAACCTAGTACCCTCTGGATAAAATGCTGTTATCAGCCCAAGAGCCATTCCAGATATAATAAAGAGGAAAATCCAAGCTTCTGCTTGGAATCAAACCCATCATCCCCCACAATCACTCACTTTACTAAGAACTTATTGAAGGAATGAAGCAAGCCAAAATGTGTAATTTAATTTTGTCAGTGGCTCATAATAGTAGTAATTAGTGAAAGAATAACAGTTTCTTGTCATCACAAGACTGCACAAAATGTTGTATTCAAGAATGTGAATGCAGCTCTTATGCTCAAGAGGATTTGGTTATGCCTGTTATTATGCGTATATTACCTCGGGAGGGGCTCATTATCCCAATTCTTAATCCAGAGTGAACCTTCGTTGGCTGCCCTTGTAATCTTGCCCTTAAGTATTATCTCTACCTGGTCCTTGTCCACATTCTCCACACATTTGGCATAACAACGATTCACGTATTTCCTGCAAGTAAGGTTATCACAATGAATGCATCCATTAACTTCCTTCATTGAAGAGCATCCAGTTCAACCTATGTATGAAAATTCTTAAAATATAACACAGTGGTATGTAATTATGCAGCTAGATGGCATTATTGTAGTGTTATTGCACCCAGATACACAGGATTCCTTTGTTAATTAAAATGGCACGTCCTTGTTCGACATTTGAGCAATTGAAGTTCATTCTAATGCTAGTGCTAATAGGAAACTTGGTGTGAATGAAGTACAAAGACAGAGAAACTGAAGCTCCATTAACCATATAGTTGCATGATATGGAAAATGTTCAACGATCCCAGAGAAACTATTCTAAGACATGGCCATGGCTGTAAAATGTGTGCACTCTCTGGAAACTGTCAGTAAGAGACCAAAGTGCCTGAGGAACAACACACACACACATTTTGCCAGACATGATTTTTACCTCATGGGTTCAGTAGAGACAAAAGGGTGAAAAGAATGCCACCATGGACTAAAATGAATATATACCTTCACGATGGATAAACTATGAAGTGAAATTAATACCTGTGTATAATCTTTCAAACATGTTCACACTGTAAAGACCTGTTACTTACTTAAGGCTCTCTGGCCAATCACCAGAAGGATTGAAAGGGGCAGTGGGAGTTGACAGTGTTTTCTGCTGGGTTTGCGAGTTGCTCACAGCAGCCGAGGCACGTTCTTCTAGAGTCTTTGTTGTGACAGAAAATGGTGTATCAGCATTTGTTTCCATAGGTTTTACTATCTTGCCTGGGTCCATTCCTTCATCTTGGGGTGGGTCTTCGCTTGGTGGGGTAGGTGGAGCTGGTTCCTGTGGAAGTGGTGGCAATGGTGGAAAGGGAGGTGGGGCAGCTTCAGGAGGAGGGAGAGGAGGTGGATGCAAGAACAATGGACTATTTCCAACCATGGAATTGTTGAAGCTATTGTTGAATTGGTTATTTTTGTTCTTCTTGCGTTTCTTCTTGTTCCCACCACCACTGTTGAATGGTTTGAAACCAAGGCCAGTTTTCTTATTGGCAAGATTAAACTTGACTGGGTTATAAGCTGTAACACAGCACATGAAAAGTACAACAATTATATGTTATATAAATTATAATTTATATTTCAAACTAATTAAAAAATATTATGACAGAACCAATTAAAATTTCAGACATTCCAGACTCTTCCCACCAGCCAGCCTCTGTTCTACGCATTTGCAAAACAATTTAGACCAACACATCAGGAAACTGAGAATGTGTTTTGACATTTGTACATGTACAGAAACATGTCAAGCAATCTCCAAATTCCTTGACACAATGCTATTTTCCCAGGTTTGGGGGGAGGGGGTATAAAAATTGTAACCACATCTCTACAGAATTGTCTTTGCAATTGGCTCAGGATCACATCCAATGATAGCTTTGGTTTTATTGGCACCGAACCTTCATGTGCTACTACTACAGTGTTAATTAAATATGTAATTTGTGAAGCATTTTATAATTCACTTAGAAAACCTTCATATACTTACTGTTATTAGTCTGGCCATAAAACTGTGGCCTAAGTAGAGAAGTACCGGGAGGCACAGGCGTTGAGTAATTGTGACCACTTAAAGGTGGTGGTGGTGGTGGTCCAGGAGGAAGAGGTGGCAAGTCATTACGATCTCCTAATTTCTTGTCATTGGAATCTTGTGGATTATTTGAAATGGCACTGTTCTGTTGACCAAAGTCTGCAAACATAAACAAACTGTAACAAAACAAGACATCTCCTGGATCAAGTCATAGCTTCAGAACAAAATAAAGTGTCACTACATACCTGATGGAAAAGACTTGTTAGACATTGCATGATTCATACCCTGCATTTGAGGGACATTCTGATTATTTGGTCCATTTGGACATTGTGGGCCATTTGGATTATAGCCCATTCCCTATAAAAGTAAGCACATTATGACATAACAAAGAATGTTTCTGATAGAACATGGAGATGTAACAATTACAGCTGGTCTGGATTTATACATAGCACAGCTCAGATTCAAAACTGTAATTTAGAATATGATCCAATAACAACAATAATAGAATTCACTAAAAAGAAATTTAACACAGGTTTTTAAACATATATAAAGTAATACTCACTGAATAACCATAGAAATATTGCCCTGGACGGCCATATCCAGTGTGTCCATAAGGTTGACTACAATGAAACAAAACATATTAGTAACAATGCAGATAAAATCTATTTAGAGGTTTATCTTATCACTAAGGCCTAGCCATTATGTGAATATATATTTTAATACAATCTTCATATAGTTTCAGTTTCTTCAGCAGTTACTTGGCAAATTACACATTTTCCCAAATATTACAGGTACACAAAATTTAAGGTTATGGTAAATAATAATCCTTAGTCCTTGCCAATTCACAATCAGGTGAAACTACTTACTCTCCATTTTAAAGAAGAATTACCCTCACTGTATAACAAAATATTCAAGGCTATGACCAGAGTTTTCCTCTCAAAAGGGCCCTTTTCTATCTATTATAATTATTTTTACACAGCCTCCCTTATCAACTAACATCTAATATTTGTAACTGGGAATTACCTTCTTATTTTTGGCTATAAGCTGTAATGTTCAAATACACACTGAGCATAAGGCTGTAAAGCATTTCAATAACTTGATCTGAAAGGGCACAATTGAACTACTGATTTCAAGTAGATAAATGGTCCTGAGATATTATTATATATTTCTTTTATTTATCTGTAGGCTGATTATAATATTATTTTTCAGTGCAGTTACAAATACACATATAGGGATTCTACTTAATTAAATACCTGTTATTGTTCAATTTTGGGTTTCACTGAAGCAACAAATTCTAGAAGGTTTCATATGGGAAGCAGTAGTACTATTAGACTGGTACAAGGTTGTCAGAATGCAACACCTTATATCAAGGATTCTTATTCCACTGAATACTCCAAATACTTCCTAGCACAGTTTGTGGTCACATTATTATTGGGGGAATGAAATCAGTACTGCTGTCAGTAGTACAACCTGCAAGCAACTAGCAATCTGCCTCCACAGAGTAACAAAAGTAAAGAGATGAAAGTCTTCAATGCACCAGTTTTAATGTAGGGCATAAGACGAGCAACTGGTAAATGACAAACAGCTCTAGACATGTCCTGTCCAAAGAAATTATTCAAAACATAAAGTCCAAAATTTTGGGCTGCATTTCTGTGTGCTGGAAACTGTACCAAGCAAAACACCCTCAAATGCGAGTCTGCTTTAGGGGGAGAAAAGATGAACTTATTTTTGTGTGCATGCATAGTAGGAACAAAGAATTCTAGTAGTTTCTCTCAAGGAAAAGGGATGTTTACACAATGCATTCACATTCCTAAGGTAAATACATTAATAACATCACAATACAGTTACATTGTTTTATCAAAAATTGACAGTGGAACCACGGTTCCGGAGAATCTGACGTAAATACATCTATACAGAAAGGAAGTTTATATATTAGCTTTAATTACAACAATATTAACAACAATGCCGAGTAAACAGATGACGTTTCCTAGGTAACATAACAATGCACGCAAGCTGACCATTGTTGTCAATCCATATTAACACATTGTTTATATGGATCTTGCACATTTTCCTTTCCCTTGTTTGCCGAATGACCCTTCCGTATAGACGTATTTACGTCAAAAAACATGTACAGCATAGTTGTGGGATTTAATTTGGGCCAGCGGGGGATATGGGAATTTAAAGGTTAACCGATGGAAAAATTCTAAGCTTTCTTAACAAATCAAACAGTATCCTATTTACATTAGAATATTGATTTCAACATTGTAACAATGGTAAATTCTTACTTGGCATAAGGGTTGTAAATTCCATATGGTGGAGGATACTGCCACGGGTTTGTGAGCTGCTGGTTCTGGCATTTGTCTCCCATTATGTTCAGCTGATATCAATGTATTATCATTGAAAGTAATGTGAAGCAAAGTTTCTGTAAATATCCACAATGAAGTACAAAAAATTTGGTTATGTTGCTGCTGAGAGTTCTTTGCGGATATTGTATCATAATAAATATATTATAATAATATAATTACAGTATACAGTCACAATGATTTCGAAATCTTTATTTAGTTGTAAACACTTAATTCAATAAATATGTAAAAGAAACTCAACCCCCATACGGTAGATGAAACCTGTAATCCATTATACAATTGCACGCAATAGATCATAAATAATAATGAATGGCAAGTACTGTCATAATAAAAGCTACAATTTGCACAGGCAAGGATTCTAAAACTAATATATACTAGTGATTTTATAACCAAACACTAACACACTGCAAGTAAAAGTGATCCTGACAGATCCTTATTAAAACAAACAGTAAATAAGGGGTATTTTATAAAATCGCCATTTTCTTCCTCACAACTTCATAAAATAATACATTAGAAAGCTGTTCACCCACTAACAAAGAGAGACAGCACTGTACTCACATCTTACTTGAAAATGTGTCTCTTCGTCCGCTATAGTGATATCTATTCAAGTTCGACTGAAATAATTAAAAACAAAAGACACCTTCGTACATGAACAATTGACTTGAAAATCAGACTTTCGTCAATAATGACTAATGCTATTGCCAACATAAAATTGCAACATTATGTGTTGGCGGCATTGCCTCCTTGGAAGTGGACATAGTTTACCAACGTGCGCATTGACCATATGACATAGCACCAACAAATAATCAAATAAACAAATGTAGATCGTCTGTGGTACAAACTGTGCAAAATGAAGTGAGCATGGAAACAGTGCTCCTTATTACCTTATCATAACATTGATTTTCATAGTAAAGGGTTTTCATGTACTGAATGAAGGTACATTTTCTTTATTAAAGCATAAAGGCTCTTCACTCGTATTCATCCACAGATAACACATTCAACGTTTCAAAAATGTTGTCAATGGCAACATACGTAAAAGCATCAGTCTGATAGGAAGCCAAAGTACGATTTATCCATGACTGGAACATACCAAACATGTCACCGGAAATTCAGAATATCTGGTGTCATCAAGTTTTATTTTTTTGCGGGTAATGAACAAGTTGTTACATTTACATAATAGCTAAGAATTAACATTCTCAACTTTTGTTGGTTAACCTGAACAATAAAACGTGCATATGTTTATAATAATTACAATGTTACACATAATCTGACATGTAAATATTGTGTTTACAAGATACTATGTAAGATAATTCAAACCGTTTCTAATTAAAATAGGTGAATTGAAGTCAATGGTAAGCTACATATGTCGGTAGCGTGGCCGAGCGGTCTAAGGCGCTGGTTTAAGGCACCAGTCTCTTCGGAGGCGTGGGTTCGAATCCCACCGCTGCCATTTTTTATTTAAATCTTAACGTTATCTAATTTCCATTTTAATTAGATTTGTGTGTATGAATCGAATTGAAAAGGTTTTATTTTAAGTTCTGTCGTCAGTTGCTCACTCCAACAGAGGCCTTAACTTTGTAATTTAAAATCGTATAGTTTGATAATAATACTCAAATCAATGGATTTTCTGAAAAATGTGATTTTTAAAGATTAGAAGTGTCCATTCTTTATGAAGTTACAGAACCCTATTAAGACAGTACTTCATTCTTGCATAAATTAATAAAAGTAAAGTCAGCACCATGCCAGCTGTGGTGAACAACTGTTAACCCAACACATTCTAGATATTTGCATTAGACGAAAGTGAGCAATCAGCTTCAAGATGCCATTTTATATGTATTGAAAAAGCCTCCAGTATGCATTTGGTAGGAGAATGGTGGCATGTGCTAACACAGAGATATTAACCGCTTATTTGATTTTTACTAAAGAAATACAAAATTTATTGAGTGTCTTTATAACTTCTTGTGAGCATAACACGTATAGGATATTGACTAAAATGTAACATTTTTTTCCTGAGATAATTCAGTATAATTTTAAAATATGCTAACTTAAGTCCACTCATCTGTTTTAACTGTATTTACCGTTAGGTATGGTTTTCAAAGTGTGTCAACTGGTTGGTTGGTTGGTTAGTTATCCTTTTAAAAACAGGCAAGCTAATTTCTTCTAGATATGAGTATAATTATTTTAAGATCTTGAAATGCTACAAGGAATCATTGCTTTATTATTTTTCTGAAATCAGAATCTAATACAGTCAGCTTATTGGGTTCCAAATAGTGTCATATTTCATCAGAAATATTTTTACAATTATCAGATAAATACACACTCACTTACATACTTACTTTCATAGCAAACACTCAATTACTTGCTTACACACATACTTACATATGTACATTGATACATGCATACATATGTACATATATATATATATATACACATACACACATATATGTGTGTTTGTGTGTGCTTACATACATACATACAAGCTGTTTGAAATGCAAAGTATTTAATTAATTCTGCAGTCTGTTTATATCTAGAAGAAGCCATGCCCCACACTTAACAACATGACAACACTACCTACAAGTTGGTACAACTTGACAACAAAGCCATATCTTCCAACATCTTTCAGGAAAATTGTTATGTAATGTAGGAAAATGTTTTTGCATATTGTCAACAACACCCTACCTTTGCAGGAAAGGATTGCAATATAAATCAGGAGAGCTACAAACTTTAAACTCACAATGTTGTGAGTTCTGCAGAAATTGGCTATTAGTGTATCTAGCATCATTGTGAGCTGTGCAGTTATAGAGTTAACTCGGCATGTTTGTATTTTACCCTTAAGTGTATAATGCCAAACTGTGAATAATGCAAACACGCCAACTTATTTACAACATAGGAACCATCATGAAACAAACCTCTGTTAAAAGGTGACTATATTGACATAATTACGTTGCAATTTCTTTGCATATTCACTAAATAAGCACATTATGTTAAAACAATTTCAATTCTGTTTTAATTTCCTATAAATCACATTAAATAAAATCAAACACAAGATCTTGCTAAACAGTAGTGTTTGTAATAAGTGCAGAATACAGCCCCCATACCACACAGTGCTCCTACCTGGTTTAGGTTAGCAGAACATTAAAGTGTTACTTTTAATGTTTTGTAGAACCAGTGACAGCATAGCTTCCTTCTATAATTTGAGCCATTTACAGCTTAATATTACACTAAACTTATTGAGGGCATCATGCCAGATGGGTGTATCAGTGTATTTGCTTAATCAGACACATCTGGTCTAACAACATTAGAGGGCATGTTAAGTAAATTACTGAACAGACTTAATATGTGAAACTGTACGCAATAGTAGGCCCAATTTAGTAACACTTTAAATAAACAGGCTTCTTAATTAACTATCTTTATTTATAACCTTTTGGCCCACAACTTAATAAGAAGCACATCTGTGACCCCAGGTTTGGAGAAGATTGAGAACCCCTTGTTTAAAGTATTATGCACAATCTCTAATAGGGTAAATTTTAAATGCTTTGGTGTGGCAAAAGAAGCTTTATTTTAGCAACTATGGCTTGGCATAATTTTTAAAGCCTTGATAACAGTATTTTCAGACACCAATTTCTGCTATCTTCCAGCATATCTTGTGGTACACATTCTTTAAAGCATCTTACAGTGTACATGTAAATTATGTTTATTCACTGCCATTAGGCCACCACTATGCTCACAGTATTTATTTAAATTTTCTGTGGTAGTATTTGACTACAATTGATGCACTTGCTACAATTTAAGGCTTCATACATAAAATTATATCTGTTGTAAATCCATTGTTTGAATACCAAACTGATATTATCTTAATATCAGACATGTGCCATCCAACACCATAAATTATGACTGATAACTTCTTTTCTTTGACAGTAATTCAGTAGTAAGTGGACCTAGATTCATTATGTCTGAATTACTGCCATGATATGTAACAGTATTTTTAAATTAAATGCAAGTAATTTGGTTATGAATGTTACAGGTCACTACTGAGCCTTTCAAACTCCCGAACAATATAGTCCATGTCTGCCCTGTCTGTGCCAGAATTCTGCAAGACAAGTCGAAAGAAGTTTGGCTGGTCTCGCAGCGGTTGGTAAGTCAGCATCATTGAACCTTCCTTGATCATTCGTTCCTTGATTTTGGGTGCCACCTGTTGAGAAATAATGCAAGTACATAATGTATTATTGAAGATGGGTATACGAGTATACTCAAATTTGGGAGCATGCGGTCTTACATTAGTGAGCATGAGACTCTTTTTCTTGTGTGCTGTGATGTGAATTTTTACATAAAAATTCCAGCAACTCTAAACTGGAATATGTAATTAATATAGTTTATAATAATATATAGCAAATGTGGTTGAGTAGTAAGCAGTCTTGCTTAATGTTTATGAGGTATAAACTATGAATCAATTAAAACAGAGGGTAATATACCTAATAACATTTTAAAAAGGGCTAGTATAGTGTGAACATCTATGGTGATGACTCAAAATAAGATGTCCTAATTTATTTGTAACTGAACCCCTTCAGAAAGGCAAAGACCACAGACCTATAAAAGAATGTTTAACTTGGTGTGAGACAATCAATAGAAATAACTGACATTGAGAAAGATATTGCATAAGCAGCATGAAATAGCTATAAGATAGGGAGAGACAGCATCAGCTGTAAAAATAACTTGTACATATACACTGCAATATATAACAAATGCATTGCAGAAATTTGTGATCTAGGAGCAAACCACTCAATTATTTTGCTGACTGACTTAGTCTGAAGACTATCTGGACTCAGCAAAAGTTTTGCACTTGCCTTCTCCAGTCTTCACCTCTGAGAAAGTAAAAACATTTTGAATATGAGGAATACCAGTTGCCCACCATGCTTCCCAGACCAGTAGATCCTCTTGCCAGCTATTATCTTCATCATCACCTTACTACCGATGCAATGAACACATTCCTATACTATGGACACTCTCACTTACAGAATTACAGTAATACACACTGACAGGCGAGAAAGGTCAGTGGTTCACAAATGAGATGCTGTACATGGGTTGCTTATACCTTGTGTAATCTTTCATTGAAGTCTGGTTGGTTCTCGTGGCCTCGCAGACTGGGAGGGATGTACCAGAAGCACACATTGGTGCATTCAGGCTCCTGCAGTACCAAGCGGAATCCTTCTCGCATTCTGATTTGTTTCAAAAAGTAGGTAGCATTGTCAAATACTGTGTCAATATGTTTCTCTAGGCCAATTGTGCCCTGTTAAAAAATATAAAATATAGTAAGCGTTGAAAAGAAACATCTTTTATAACTGTTGTAACATAAATAATTGGATCTTTCTTCTTTCTGACTGGACCATGTGATCATGTGGTTATGTAGAATTTTTTCAAAAGGAATATTTTTTATTATGTCAATTGCATGATTAATTTGCAAATATATGTAATTATTGAATATGCACATAAATGAAATCCTAAATATGCTATTGGTAAGAAAAGAAGAGAAAGTAGTAGTAGTAATAGTAGTAGTAGTAGTGTTTGGATGATAAGTGTCTATTTGTAAACAGAATAGAAAAATTCAGCACTTTTAATATCGAAACCTGTCATTGGACCTGACCCTTTATCAGTTCAGTTTTGTTCAAATCTTTACACTTCATTTTACAAACACCCATTTAAAATTGTCATCCCTTCTACTTCTCACTCTGCCAAGTGAACACTTTTCTGAAGGTTCAGAATGAAAGAATGAAGTAGATGTTTAGGAAGACTTCACAAAAAGAAGGAAGGATTGAGTGCATTTTAGAATATTTTAACAGGTTACCTGGACCTAATATTGAGAAGGAATGAAGATGACTATGGTTCAGTCAGTCCTGAGTCTTGTATGAATGCTGGCGGTTCTGACTGAGGAATTTAAAGGTTTTCTGAAGCCTCCAAAGCAAATGCAAGGATACTATCTTCAAGTGGCCATGATCGCTTCTTCCCTTCCCATCATACATAATCTTCCCATAAACTCTGCAGTTCATACAGTGTCATCAAATAATCTGTCAGTCATTCAATGATCTACATCTTGGAGGAAGACATTTAGCTGTTTACTTGTGACTTTTAAAGAAGAAAGATTTCTTATTTCAAATCCACCTTAAATCTCAACCTTACATTTCTTAAACTTTATATAAACTCTGCATTTGATGCATCACCATTGTTCTTCTCACCTTGGCCTTCCACATGAACCAGAACTTGAGAACATCAGCACGTCTGCCACACTGGATATGCTTGTCCCCAGTGTCATACTTAGTGTCATAAAATTTATCCTTCTGAAAGAGATACTGTGCACTAGCTGAGTGGCAGGCAGATAGTACACCAACATGACGAAGCAAGAAAGTGGAGCACTGCTGGGGGGCTGTCAGCAGCTTGTGTGGGTTCCATGTGACTGAGTCAGCCCTGCACACACCAGTGTTCATTTTTAACAAAGAAATAGAGTACACAATTACATATAGAGTGTTTATTGCAGATGCAGATTTGTCTTTGACAAAACTCATCAACAGGAAGTGCAAAAGAATTTTTTGTTGGGAAACACTTTGAAAAACAACTGCTTGTCAGAGTAAAAGAAGAATGAAACAATAATATTAAAATGGATAGGCTATGCGAATGTAAACTGAAGAGAACAGGCTCAAGTCTGGGTCCAATGGCAGGCTTTGGTTTTTGTGGTGGTGTATTTTCAAGGCATATTATATCAGCATTTGTTTATAAAATTAGTCAACCAGTCAGTTAGATAACAAGAAATATTACACTGCACATCATTAATTTTTTTCTAATAATTTTTTTAAGTATACAGAGTATTGAAAATATTCTATATAAAAGTTATAGTTTATTCAAGTGCTATATTCAAGCATAATTGGTTAGATATGTGATGAAGTTCCACTTGAGCTTTCTGTAAAATGAAATTTATAAGCTAATTCTTAGTGCAGACCATCTGTTAAAAATTTAATTAAATTGAGCTTTAGAGATTAAAATTTTAAGCCCCAGACATAAAAAAGTATCTTTAAACCAAGAGTTTTAAATATAAATGTATTTTAGCTAAAGCACTTTATATGCAAGTGAAAGGAACAATTATTTTCAGAGGTTTATTTGGGTTTGCAGTGCATTTGATATAACCTTGAATTAGTCACTCATGTGTACATACCTTTCAATTCCTTCAAGGAGATGCCTATGCTTCTTTGAAACAAGGGCACCTCCTCCCCAGGCAGCATCTACATGCAGCCAGAGCTTGTACTTCGAGCACAGGTCTGCAATTTCAGGGATAGGATCAAATGCCCCAAGTACTGTTGTCCCTAAAAGAACGATGATTACGTTTACAGATTGTCTTCAGGATGCAGGACAACAGTGTAAAGCATCTCAAATGTGAATTTCATATAAGCCTTTACTGAATTGACTGATTATCAACATAACTACCTAACATACTAACTAATTCACTTACTCTATAACCAACCAACACCATGGTATAATATCTTATTCTAGCAGTTGATAATTATTTCGCTTTTCAGGATACTTCCTGTCATTATGGAAATCAAAAATTCTTCACTGTGGACAGTGGTATTTCTTAGTCTCTACTCAGAAAGGTGTGTGTGTGTATTTGACCTGAATTCCTGAATAGACAAGATCACTCTCCAAGTTTTAACTTGTTCCTCTCACCTGCAGTCGCAGACACCATGAATGGGACAGCTCCCTCCTCCAAAGCAGTCTGAATTTGTTGCTCAAGATGTTGAACATCCATTTTTCCTTTTGAGTTGCAGTGAACCAGGTAAACATTGTCAGAACCAAGACCGAGAAGAGATGCCATTTTCTTGATAGAATAATGAGCATCTTCTGAGGTGAAGAGAACAAGTCGAGGCATGCCATGTAGTCCTTTGTTCTGTGACATATAGAAACATCTTTACAGCATTTATCAAGAATTTTGATTTACAAACTACATATGATATTAGAGCTGATAACAAAACAGGCAAATGTGTGTAGGTACAGCAAGGTTTAAGATCAATGCGTCCTTAATATTGGATAGAGTTCCTCAAGGTATATATCCCTACAACTGTTCATTTAATCAATATATGATGCCTTTGAGAGTATGCAGTGCAGGGGAAGAAACCGGTAAGAAGTAACATTTGTATTTTATAACAGTCAGCCAGGGGTGGAACATTCGTGTTAATCATGTTAGCTCAGCTGATACAGTTAACATGAATGCTCTGCCCTTGAATCTGTATATTGAAGAAGAAACATACGAATATAAAAGTTAAGAATTATGAAAAACTCAATTACTTATATTGAAAGACTTGATATGCTGCTTAGTTAAAGCACCAGAGACGATTTTATCTTTACTTTTGTCAACTGCATTGGTTGTATATTGTTAATTGAATGATTATTATGAATTAATTTTAAAGAATATGGAAAGAAGTGGTTGTGACATATTTTAAGACACTATCTTGGCATTTTCCTGTAGAGGATGAGGAATCTCACAGAAGATCTCATGCAGGATAGTTTGTCTTCAGACTATGAGAAACATGAATGCCAACCTTAACATCTGGCATGTGATAGTAACGGGCACAGCTGATGGCGTAGCCATTTGCAATGGATCCACCGGGGCAAAAGATGCCATCTCCATGGCCATGAGGAAAACCAATGATATGACGCATCTCACAGAGCACAGTCTCCTCCATAAGTGTGAATACGGGGGACACCTCATATGTGTAGACACTGGGATTTAAGGCATCTCCCAGCCATTGTCCCACCAGACCATATGGATCAATACTGAAACATTCATGCACAGTTAAATAAGTAAATATTCAGCGAGCTAAGTAGGTACATAATCAGTTAGAAAGTCAACTGGACAATCAATGAATTAACCATGAAGATTTCTGTCTTCTGGGTTTTTGCGCTGTGTAGTATCTATACTACCCTACTATAATACACAGCGCAACGACCCAGAAGACAGAAATCTTCATACACACCACTGTGAAAACCTCAGATCATACAATGAATTAACCAACCTGTTAACTATGTAAGTAAATAGTCAACTGGCAATCTAGCTGATGAACTTAGTAAGTGACAAATTAAACAGCTGTAACTTATTAATGAATTACATAGCCAAGTAATTAGAGAACAAGTTAGCTATCTAACCATTTATGTGTCTAAGCAGCTGCCCAACTAACTGCGTAAGGCAGGGTCCTTCTTGATCATAGTTTGTCTGATCACAAAGTACCCGCGGAGCCAACTTTCAGCCATCGATCCATCCATTTAAGTATGGCACCTGTATCATATTTAAGTTTGACTTCCTGAAAATTGTTAAGTAAATTTTGAACTACTGTGAAGTAATGAACAGCTTCTTGCAGAAATATCTGATTGCAATATTAACTTCCATATATGGAGTTTCTAGAAACCTGGTCGGTCGAAGAACGGGTTGAATGTGACATGCGTGAAAAAATGTAAAATTGAGAAAATGTCCATTGACTTCAGTTTCTTGCGAATTGGGGAAATACCGCCATTACTTGGTATCAGTGGCGTCACGCCTCGATCCAGTTCGCGGGACAGCAGTGTTTCGCGGGAGTACAGTTTGAGGACCATTGGCCTATTTTTTCTGAATAATTTTATTATGAACTTTGTTCGTGTTTTCACAGTAAGGAGTAGCTTTTTTAGAATCAATTGTAAGTCTGTAACAAACATGATCCCGATATTAACAGTTCATTTTGTCGACCTACATTTTATTTGTAGTTTAGTTGAGTGTACTAAGTGACCTTTGAAATTCAGATAATTTACATCCGTCTTTAAGATATTTTGCAAGTTGCGAGTTGATAAATTTTCCTTGTTGCTCATGCCATGTCCCTGCCATTACTGATACCGTTTCGAACACACCACAGATTGTGTTATTTTCAATACGTTTACATATTTATGCGAGCAGATACAATGCGTTATGACAACAGCGTTTGCATTTTCAACAAAATATATTCATAAAATCCAACAATAAGATTAGTTATGGATTGTCCATAAGTAAAGAGCTCTCCCAACATAATTTGGCTTTAGAACGTCAGATTTTTAATCTGGGATGCTGGATACTGGGAACGACCCGTTCTTCAAGTGCCTGAGCACTGCGGGTCTAAACTTTTCGTTGGCTTGATCTATAGACATTCGGTAGGACTCCTTGGACGAGGCATCGGCCCGTCGCAAGGCCTCTACCTGTACACAGGACAGCACAATAGAGAAAACCGCGGACAAACATCCATGGCTTGAGTGGGATTCGAACCCACGGTCCCAGCGACCAAGCGGCACAAGGCCCACGCGGTCACTGCGGACCCCCAGATTTTTAATCAGCACATATAAATACGCGGCATTTAATAAAATAGTATGGCCAGTAGAAGCATGGACGCGTACGTTTTAAAATTTAAGGAGATGCTCAGGTTTGCTTTATAAATTCTCCCGACCGACAATTCCAGAGGATTCACACCGCAGCCCACGAAAAAGAGTAGACACCAAAAATACCAGGAATGAATGGATTGAAACTATAGTGCGTGCACTCAACTCTGCCGCTCTTGAATTACAAGAATCTCCTTTATCAAAACAAAACTGGTCACATACAACACATCCGGCTCCACTACTTATCATAAACGCACAGAACGGAGGCGTTATGGAAAACTACAAACATTCAGCAAAACGTTTCCTGGGCCCAAATGAGAATTTCCTTATTTTTATTTAACGAAAGGTGGGGAATTTCTTGGCCAGCTTAGCTACTAGAAGCTTTAAAGTAAGGAATCAGATCTATGATGTTACTTGATCATCAGTCTTGTTCGAATGCAAGTACATTAGACCGTTTTCATTAATTACAAACAAAAGAGGCCTGCAGTAATACGTATTTTGCATTACATTTGATTATTTTGTATAGTTTTAAATACTGTAAAGGAATAGTTGTCTGTGTGCTTAATTAAACACCATACCATGAAGACGAATGGGGAGGGTGGAAGCGTAGCTCTACGCTTTCTTAACTTCCGCACTAGTTTCAGATGAGTGGTCAACTCCGTCCGCTTTACCACCGGGAAAGAAGCCCGTTTGATAGGAGATTGGGTGGGTCCTAGACCTCGTATAGACGCTGTGGGAAAGACAGAAGTCCCTGGTGTCAGGAATCGAGTCCCGGTCGCCTAGCCCTTATCAAGTATCTAGTCACTACACCGCAGTATTTATTGAGTCTGACGTTCGGTCCATCGCAAAATACATTCGACAACACAATAAACCGGGATCGAACATTAGTACATGGAGCGAGATTCGATCCCTAGATTCTTATGCTCCAGCTGTACAAGACCGTGCAGCCATCACTATCGACATGTACCTTATTTACACACTTAGTGTTGTTGTTGTTATTATTATTATCATAATCATCATCATCTCATGAGTCCTAATTTGGAAGAATGATGTTTCACCCAGCACTAATTCCAAATTGTGTGGAAACTTTTTGCACAGTTACTATTGCAAAGCTACTTTTAAGGTGTGGCGATACGAATAATTACCACAGTGCGGATTGTGAAAGCTTGGTAATTACATTTTCCAGTAGCCTTTGCGCTTTCAGTTTTCCTTTCTGACAACAAACTTCCTGGAACGCCAAGATTTATTGCATCAGTGATATTACAAAAAACAGAATGTAATTATTTGACCTTCGTGTAGGAAATATTACGGTTGTCAGAATGTAATAAGCCGAAGTCCGCACTGAGAGAATGGTTATTCTTATACCCCTCACCGTAAAATGTTCACGACACGAATACGTATTTCTGTCATGTAACTGCAAAAATAAATTATTTCATACCTAAATTTGTACAAATGTAATTGTTTTGCATCATGTTGTTTGTTGGTTGATTTTTAAAGCAATTCATTATCCCAAAATGACACCCCCAGTTACGCTGACACAGTTTAGCAAAATAATTACATGGAAGGCATACTAAAGTTTTCTTCTTAAGTATTCGAACCTGAATTAACTTATAATGCGGATTCAGAAATATGTTGTTGACTGAGTTGATAAAACTTACCACCAATCGCCAATGTTGGTGGTCTGAAAGCCTACCTGGAGAACAGTTGGTTAACAAAGAAGGGGTGCCCAGTCTTCACACTATACTGAATGACGTCCTTTAGAAGCTGCAGCAGCTTGTCGTGACTGACTGGTTCAGCTGCCAAGTCTAGGTCTATCAGTTTCTGGAGTTCCTCGGGGGCTCTCCACTCCACAACGCGATTGCTTCTGTTGGTGGCCTGAAACACGGCTTCCTCCAACATCAGGTCGACGGCTTCCTTCAGGAACTTAGAGTGTTGCTTTTTGTCTGGAAGACTCGCAAACCAGGGTACGTTTCTTGTTGACTTCTCAGTGACGTATCCAGGAGATGGCGAAAAAGAAGGAACCGCAGTATCGTCTGCAACTTTCACATCTTCGTACGACCCAGACAGGCCGTGTTTTCCGTTCAGGTTCTCCAAAGGTTGAGACACAGTGATGATATCTGCAGAAGCTGGCATTTTGAATTAACAGTTCAACTGAAACACTGTCCTGAAGTGTTAATAATTGGTGAAGTTGCTGGTTGCTGCTACGGTTAGTGCCGTCCAGCAAACAAGCGCTGCTGTCCTACAAATGCTTGCACTTTCTGTCTTTACTTCGCTAATAAAGGTTCAGTACTGAAGGTCATTAAACGGCTTTCTTACCCCCACTTCTAGCAACCTCAGGGTATTTCCCTCCACATGAAGACTGGGAACCGCCACTTCTTATGACATCAAGGATTTTAGAGATGCTCTTTTTCACTGCGGACCCCCAGATTTTTAATCAGCACATATAAATACGCGGCATTTAATAAAATAGTATGGCCAGTAGAAGCATGGACGCGTACGTTTTAAAATTTAAGGAGATGCTCAGGTTTGCTTTATAAATTCTCCCGACCGACAATTCCAGAGGATTCACACCGCAGCCCACGAAAAAGAGTAGACACCAAAAATACCAGGAATGAATGGATTGAAACTATAGTGCGTGCACTCAACTCTGCCGCTCTTGAATTACAAGAATCTCCTTTATCAAAACAAAACTGGTCACATACAACACATCCGGCTCCACTACTTATCATAAACGCACAGAACGGAGGCGTTATGGAAAACTACAAACATTCAGCAAAACGTTTCCTGGGCCCAAATGAGAATTTCCTTATTTTTATTTAACGAAAGGTGGGGAATTTCTTGGCCAGCTTAGCTACTAGAAGCTTTAAAGTAAGGAATCAGATCTATGATGTTACTTGATCATCAGTCTTGTTCGAATGCAAGTACATTAGACCGTTTTCATTAATTACAAACAAAAGAGGCCTGCAGTAATACGTATTTTGCATTACATTTGATTATTTTGTATAGTTTTAAATACTGTAAAGGAATAGTTGTCTGTGTGCTTAATTAAACACCATACCATGAAGACGAATGGGGAGGGTGGAAGCGTAGCTCTACGCTTTCTTAACTTCCGCACTAGTTTCAGATGAGTGGTCAACTCCGTCCGCTTTACCACCGGGAAAGAAGCCCGTTTGATAGGAGATTGGGTGGGTCCTAGACCTCGTATAGACGCTGTGGGAAAGACAGAAGTCCCTGGTGTCAGGAATCGAGTCCCGGTCGCCTAGCCCTTATCAAGTATCTAGTCACTACACCGCAGTATTTATTGAGTCTGACGTTCGGTCCATCGCAAAATACATTCGACAACACAATAAACCGGGATCGAACATTAGTACATGGAGCGAGATTCGATCCCTAGATTCTTATGCTCCAGCTGTACAAGACCGTGCAGCCATCACTATCGACATGTACCTTATTTACACACTTAGTGTTGTTGTTGTTATTATTATTATCATAATCATCATAATCTCATGAGTCCTAATTTGGAAGAATGATGTTTCACCCAGCACTAATTCCAAATTGTGTGGAAACTTTTTGCACAGTTACTATTGCAAAGCTACTTTTAAGGTGTGGCGATACGAATAATTACCACAGTGCGGATTGTGAAAGCTTGGTAATTACATTTTCCAGTAGCCTTTGCGCTTTCAGTTTTCCTTTCTGACAACAAACTTCCTGGAACGCCAAGATTTATTGCATCAGTGATATTACAAAAAACAGAATGTAATTATTTGACCTTCGTGTAGGAAATATTACGGTTGTCAGAATGTAATAAGCCGAAGTCCGCACTGAGAGAATGGTTATTCTTATACCCCTCACCGTAAAATGTTCACGACACGAATACGTATTTCTGTCATGTAACTGCAAAAATAAATTATTTCATACCTAAATTTGTACAAATGTAATTGTTTTGCATCATGTTGTTTGTTGGTTGATTTTTAAAGCAATTCATTATCCCAAAATGACACCCCCAGTTACGCTGACACAGTTTAGCAAAATAATTACATGGAAGGCATACTAAAGTTTTCTTCTTAAGTATTCGAACCTGAATTAACTTATAATGCGGATTCAGAAATATGTTGTTGACTGAGTTGATAAAACTTACCACCAATCGCCAATGTTGGTGGTCTGAAAGCCTACCTGGAGAACAGTTGGTTAACAAAGAAGGGGTGCCCAGTCTTCACACTATACTGAATGACGTCCTTTAGAAGCTGCAGCAGCTTGTCGTGACTGACTGGTTCAGCTGCCAAGTCTAGGTCTATCAGTTTCTGGAGTTCCTCGGGGGCTCTCCACTCCACAACGCGATTGCTTCTGTTGGTGGCCTGAAACACGGCTTCCTCCAACATCAGGTCGACGGCTTCCTTCAGGAACTTAGAGTGTTGCTTTTTGTCTGGAAGACTCGCAAACCAGGGTACGTTTCTTGTTGACTTCTCAGTGACGTATCCAGGAGATGGCGAAAAAGAAGGAACCGCAGTATCGTCTGCAACTTTCACATCTTCGTACGACCCAGACAGGCCGTGTTTTCCGTTCAGGTTCTCCAAAGGTTGAGACACAGTGATGATATCTGCAGAAGCTGGCATTTTGAATTAACAGTTCAACTGAAACACTGTCCTGAAGTGTTAATAATTGGTGAAGTTGCTGGTTGCTGCTACGGTTAGTGCCGTCCAGCAAACAAGCGCTGCTGTCCTACAAATGCTTGCACTTTCTGTCTTTACTTCGCTAATAAAGGTTCAGTACTGAAGGTCATTAAACGGCTTTCTTACCCCCACTTCTAGCAACCTCAGGGTATTTCCCTCCACATGAAGACTGGGAACCGCCACTTCTTATGACATCAAGGATTTTAGAGATGCTCTTTTTTTACACGTATTTCATTACGCGGTATTTGTGTCGTCAAACTTGCGCCGTTTCTCTCTGATTCATCCTCGTTCTCATTTAAGATGACCAGTCGGGTTTCCCGACCTTGGATATATTACGTAGCTCGAGAGGAAAACATGTGAAAGAGGTAGGTGTAGGTGCCGAAACACGACTCGACCACTTTACCTTTCCAAACGACTTCATTCTTTACGGAGGTCGTGATTATGTAGAATACGGTGCAGGAAATTGCTTGGTGTGCTGTGAAACCACAGTCCCTTGCCTGTCACGTTTCCCTTCTTAGTCAAAGCAGATTCAATATCCGACATAACCAGAAGCGAAGGGCGAGGGTATCGTTCTTATTTTTATTGATTCGAGAATAAAGACCTCTTGTAGGCATCATCTTTTTCTGTGCCTCCTAGTTCCAGTTGTTATTGTTCGCCACTTAGTTGCCGCTCTTGTTCCCAGTGTGTTCTTTAGGTCTTGGTTTTCAAGTAGCTGCTCTTTATGTCCTTCCTTTAAATAATAGGTGATCCATGGCAGATAACAATATTGGTGGAACAGTTGGCATGAAATAACGTACCCGGAGACTTTTATACGGATGTGAACGCGATTTTTCACTCTGGAATATCAGCCACTTCTATCCTCAATAATTTGGGTGTTCAGCAGTGTCAATGAAAAGAGTACTTATCCTGTGTTTTCTTTGTTGATTGAAATTATTTGTGACGTTTCAGCAGTGGAATTTACCATATTTTTTCCCCTTAAATGAAATGCATGGGGGAAACAGATCCCCTTCGGCTGAGAATATTCAGTGTAGTACCTTTAAATTCTGTATTGCTGCAAATCTTCGTCATGTAAAGTATAAAACAAAGACAATGACTTTCTGAATTTTATATTTTTCCGCTCCATAATTAATTAATCAATACATTAATGTATCGAGATTGACTACAAATTATGTATGAAATATTTTTTGTGTTAAACGTTGCAAACATTTTTACTGATAATCCCTCAAAGATTATGATGTTTGTGTGATAAGCTTTGGGTAGTGTACATCTACACAAAAATATGTTGTATGCGGTCTGATTTCCTCTAGTTTGTCTATATAGATGAAAGTATTTCAAGAAAATAAGGCGTCTGAAGTCGAGCATTTGTGAACACAGTAATAAATCCACGTGTTTCATAAAACGATGTGATTTCTTTATCAGCTGAATAATTTTCAGCTGCTTGTGAAAGACCCTGTACTATTTTGTTTATTTGTAATCAGCTTCCTCTTCCGTAGTTGGTAGGTATCTTAGTTAATTCGTATGTTAGTCAGTGACCGGAACGTCTTGTTTTTGCTGTCACGGTGATTCCTTCATGCGTGACAAGGAATTTATTTTAATTGTCGGTGTGTACGTAGTATTACTGCAAGTCATAGTAACTGCTTTTATACAACACGACAGGTTTTGTAGAATTCACAGAAAAGTTTGCGTTTGCTCTTCTGGTTACTGGATACACGTACGATTCAGTGTTCCCTCGCATCTGACGTACTTGTTACATTGCTCAACAAAATCTTAGCTTGAAAATGAACAGTTGTGAAATTTGTGTTTATTCTGAGAATTCTTCCCTTTCTTTATTTGTTTTTTTTTTGCACTTATTCAGAAACATCCACTTGACTTGGAGAGAATGATTTGTGGACATAACATTGCTATGCAACGGTCATGTCCTTTCCCGTTTGGGCTAACTGAATGACATTACTACGATCAGCTCTTCTTGAAAGTTATGCACATTTCCGTATAAACACCCCCTGTTTCCCAGTTACTCAGAATAGTAAAGGTAAAGCCATTCCGTTACATGCCAATGTTGACACTTAGAGGAAAGGAGGAATAGCTCCTACTTATTCTCAACCACGGCATTAGGAGGTGTGAGTGGTCAGCAGCATGCTTTAACCTCGGGAAAGAACCCCGGTACCCATTCGATAGGAGGCTGTGTGGACCCCAAAGCTGGTCTAGACGCAGAGGCTAGAAGAAAAATCCTCTGCCCCTGTCGAGGATTGAAACCCGGTAGTCCAGTTCGTAGACAATCACTATACTGACTGAGATACCCCGGCTGAGAATAGTAGCATGTTAATTACATTTCATTGGTAAACTCCATTTCGTGTATCTGTTTTATGCATTTGTAATATAAGCATATTGTATTATTTTATGTTACCAGATATTTAAAGCTCTTACGTAACTGGCAGTAACATACTCCCATAACAGAAGAAAACTCGTAGCATCCCGAAAATCTAGAATGTTCCGAAAGCAGATTAAGTAGCAATATATGTAGAGTGTAACCACTGTACATTGTTCCCTGTTACGATTTTCGACCCGCGGGCCGGCTAGACTGCCGTTGACTTCCGTGATTTCCTTCATTCTTTCCAGTAAAATGCTTGTAAGGTACTTCAGAATAGACCACG